AGAGTGACCCCAAGCCAGAAGGGCACAATGGAGCTCTACCCAAACCCTGGACCCACAGAAGAAGTGAGAGGTGAAAAAGAGACCACTGTTGTTTCAAGCCACTATATTCTGAAGTGATTTCTTATACAATGATAAATAATTAAAACAGACCCCAGCATATAAACTGGATCATGAGGATACCTTACTCCATGCATTAGAAAATCCAGTGTTTTTAACTTGGTATCAATCTAGCCATGACCTGCCTTTCTTACTGTATATTTAGTACTCCAGCCTCATCAGTTTACATGCAAGTACCCAAACTTTTTGAGAACCTTCTAACACACATTATATACATATACACACACTTTCCCATTACCCTCTTTGAAATCTTTCTATATATTACCCTTCATTCATGATCCATTTTCCTCCAAAAAGTGACCCTAGGATTCTGCATTCTTGAAGGTTATCAGTGACAGCTCAGCTGCCAAACCCAATCATTTTATTTAGAGAGAGAAAGAGATCGGGGTGGGAGGGGTGAAGGCAGAGAGAGAGGGGGAGAGAGAGAGATAATCTTAAGCAGGCTCCATGCCCAGCAAAGAGCGGTCTCATGGACCCTGAGATCATGACCTGAGCCAAAATCAAGAGTCAGATGCTTAACCAACTGAGCCACCCAGGCGTCCCCAAACCCAATCATTTTAATCATCATCTGTGACTACAGGGCATTAAGTTAACAAATGCAAATAGTATTGGCTCCTCCAAGACAGATCAGCTCACTTTCTTTGGAAAACAGTGCCGCCTCATGTCTTTAATGAACAGTTACCAAGCTGGGAGATTCCAGGGTGCTAACAAAGTCTTATCTCAAAGGAAGTAAGCCTCTTAACCGGAGGCTGTAACATTCTGAAGTTGCACAGTGTCACTAGCCAAATGTGGCTTTTGAGGGCTTGAAATATGGTTGGTCTGAACTGAGATTTAAGTACAAAATACACACCAGATGAAGGAAATGTAAAATCTCATTAATAATGTTTATTTTAATTAAATGTTAAAATAATAATTAGGATGTGCTAGGCTAAATAGATTAAAATTAATTTCAACTGTGATCTTGGACTTCCCAGCCTCCAGCTCAGGCTGCTATAACAACCTACTCCTTTCTACTTTTTTAATGAGGCTACAAGAAAAACTGGAACTGCATGTGCTGCTCACGTGAAATTTCTATGGGATTGCAATTTTGTGCTCTACTGAATTGAAGGCGCCCAAGGAAACACCATCTATATTCCCCTAAAAAGTTTGTGGGAGAAAATACTCTTAAAGACAAAGGTCAAGTATTAGGGAATAAAAAGGATGGTTAAAAGAGAATGAAAAATAACAGACTTAGTATGTATGCTCAAAAACGCCACTAGCAAGAATAATTGTCAATCATACAATCACACAATATCCTTGCCTCCTTTTTCAGGGCACTAAAATCATTATTCAAGATGACATTCATCTAAGGAAAGCCTTTGAAATTTCAGATTTTTTTGACTCTAATATAGGTAGAAATTTTATTCACGGAAAATTACCTAGGTATCTCTCCACACTGCAATCTCTTTAGGACTTGGATATCTGAAGCACTAGCTTATTACCTTCTCTAGGGAAGAAAGTGCATTTAAAGTGCTTCTGGGGATGCCTGGGGGGCTCAGTTGGCTAAGCATCAGCCTTTAGCTCAGATCATGATCCCAGGGTCCTGGGATCAAGCCCCTATCAGGCTCCCTGCTCAGCAGGTAGTATGCTTCTCCCTCTCCCTCTGCCTGCCGTTCCCCCTGCCTGTGCTCTGTATCTCTCTCTCTCTCTCTCTCTCTGACAAATAAATAAAATCTTTAAAAATAAGTAAATAAAGTGCTTCTGAAAGTGCAGAAGACTTGTCCCGGGAAATGGATGAAAGCCTAAGGGATGAAAAATGGGTCTGTAGGAGTGAGAGATGACCTAGCATGCGGCTAGGGAGAGCAGGCAATCCAGGGTCCTGTCCAGATACCACTGGGTCCCTTTTCACTGTCCTGTGCGCCAATCTCTTGGCTTATATGTGCTTTGCTTCTGAGAGATGGCACTTGCAAATTTCTTCAGAGGAACATCCCTTAACCTATTGGAGCTGCTTCGTAGCAGGATGCAAAGAAGCAAAATGCTCCCAAGTTCACAGCCCCCCTCCCAACAGTCTACAGCCTAAGGCTGATGCAGAGATAGGAAAGCCCAACCCCTTGCCCTGAGGCAGAAGGAAGAGGTTCTCAGAAGCCATTATGCTCCAGAGCTTTCCTCCAGGATGAAGGCTGAGGCAGGGACTTGGCTTGAATTATCCCCCTGCTTGCTTTTTCCCTCTCTCTCTCTCTCTCTCCAACTCACTTGTTTCTCCTGGGAGCACTGCCTTAATAAGACACTTGCACAAAAATCCCTCATCTCGAGGCTGCTTCTGGGGAGCTCAGCCCAAGACTCTTGTCATGCATGAATGGGCTCTAGGAAAACATGAAACCAGATTCTTGTTGTTGTACCAGGAATAAGAGCTTCTATATATAATACTTAAGAGTTTAAAACAACTGCACTATCCACATTGTAATAAGAATCATCTTTGATTCTAAAGAGCACTGCAGCAATGGTAGAACACAGGTCTTAGGTCTAAAAAAAGATGCTAACAGCTGTGTGTGTGTGTGTGTGTGTGTAGTTGTCACTATATATCTAGCTCTATATCTCCAGATGTGAGAGAAGTTAGAACAGCATCTAAGGCTCCAAAGTAGAGGTAAAAAGAAAAAGAAGTCAACACTAAAGTTTAGTGAGCTTCATACCTGATGTTATAAATTCTGTATGTAATCAATATTTAATAAAAACAATTTAAAATCATTCAGAAAGCAAGCAGCCCCAAATTTAGGTAAATCTTCCAAACTGCAATACTGCGGGAAAGAAGGTATTGAAGGTTGTTTTCTTTCTTTCCATAAAATTTGAAGACCACCGTTGGTTTGACTAGACTTATAAATTCCTCTTTACCAAGAGTCACCCTGAAGCTAGAAATACAATGGTGAGAGTAATTAATCCAAAAGTAGTTCATTTGGTCTCTATATAAGTATTTTCTATTTTAGAAGTTGATGCCTACACTGATAAAAAGCCAAGTTGAATGAGACATAAATAACATATTCACCTTTGTGCCATTACAGGAATTAAAACATATTCTGAATGCCTACTGTGCATGCAATAGGCCTAAAACAAATGTTCTGAACTAATGTACAGTCAAAGGTAGTCATGATGGGAATCATGGAGAAATAAAGCAGGTGTTCAAGATAAAACCAGAGGAGTTCCAGCTCCCAAGTCTAGATGTTTCTAATTTTTAACATGGGAAGAGATTATAAAAGAATAAGATTTTAATTCAATGCAAAAACAAACAAAAAACCTGTCTCTTAATGCAAGATACCCAAAAACCAAATGTTCCTAGAGTTGAACTTTTTAAATTTTTTAATAAAGGACAGAGGGAAAGAAGAGGGGAAATTCTCTCTTTGAAAAGAGGGCAAAACTAAGGTAAGGATAACCACCCCCTGGTGATATGTGGGGCCCTGATTCCAATCAGATCCTATTTTGAGGTGGGAATGGAAAAAGAGCCCACATACTATAGTAGCTGTTTTAGGACCTGAGTCCATCCAGAGCCTTTGTAAAATGAAGCACATGGCATTTATACCACTTCATATAGAGAAACTTCTTCTTGGAACTTAAAATATTTAACAAACAACTTCTGTTTTTTTTAAACTTTTGCATCACGTGTTTATTTTTGCTAAGCACATAATTCTTCATGTATAATACGCCGATGAAAATTATCTATTTCTTAAGAATAACAACTATTATGCAGAGACAGTGAGCAGTCCAGAAAAATGTAATAAAGGCTAAAAAGCAGATGTCATGTCTGCACTAATTTAAAGTCCCTGGAGAATTATTTAGCAACCCCCCACCCCAACACTGGTTTGCCTGCTAAGTAAGACATGGTTTATGAGTCATCCATGGGAAGCAGTAAAATAACAGTGCCCTTGACTAAAAATAGGTAGGGACATTCAATAATAAATCTACTTTCCTGATATTCTTGTGTCACCATTAAATACTGATCACTTAGAGAAATGTGATTCTTCTCTCCCCACATAGAAAGGCTGGAAGAAAATCAGCCACAGACCCCACTGGAAGATAAGAGTGTCCCAAAGGACTTGCAATGTGGTGGGGAAAAAATACCATTGCCTTCAAATGCCCAGAACCTGGAGTTCACCTACGAGGATAAACAGTCAAGTTGGTTATCTTTTTCATGTGTTCACTATAAAATGACTTCTCGTCTGTTGAAGTAAGAAACTATATATATATATATTCCAAGTCTTTCCCTTGGACAGCAATTAGAAAATAGGAATTTGATTAAGAGATCAGAAAAGAACCATCTCTCCTATCCACCAGGATCCCGGCTCTAGAATGTAGCATTGGCAAGTTATAGTTTATAAACAAAAAGAATCGGCCATATAAAGATATTTCTGGCTCCCATTTCAGAATTTCTTTAAAGATTTATAAATGGAACTCTAGAGGGGCACTGGGAGAATCTATTTATATCATCTCCATAGGTAGTTTCCCACAAAATGGGCAGTAGATTCTAGCTGACAATGAACATAGTTGTGATTTTTTTCACATATGTGGGAATCTTCTTAAACAATACTTACATAGGACTGAACACAAGTCATGCACTTCTCTGCAGAAAGAACTGCAGAGAACAGTTACTTAAATAATACTTGACTGCTCACCAAACGCAGGCAGTATTACCATAGACAGCAAGTAGAAAATCTTGTAAAGGGTGAAGTGGAATGAATGAACCAGAATCTGGATTATGGAGCATTAATGCTCCACTGCATGAAGGAAAGAGTCTATGAGTCAGTTTTGAGAGGCATCTCAGATAGTACATCAGTATAAATCAAGGGGGATTCACTGTGTAGAAAGTTCTAGAACCCCACAAGTAGAAACTCTACCACGGTGTGCAGAATACTCACCAGGCAGCTCTGGATGGACTGCGAGTGATGTCCACTCAGTTAAATTCACAGTGCCGTCCTCTGTGAAGCAGACACAGACCAGAGAAAAATCAATGTGAAGGACCTTTAGGATTCTCATGTAAAGAAAGAGCTTTTTTGCACTTCAAAATCAGAATCTATAATATTAAAAAAAAACATACTAGAAAGGCACATTAATATAATAGTGACATTAATTTCCAAATAAACAACAAAGTTACACAGTCATCAAATCAGAAATATTACTGCTATGCCAGCCTACAGGGTTTATACAGCCTTTTTACTAAGCTGCTGATCTATTCAAACTTTTGTCAAGATAATTAAAGAGCAACTGAACAAGGCCACCTAAAATCTTTTAGAATATAATAATCTTTTCCTGATTAACAGGAAAACGTCCTTAGATGAACTGTAATTTTAAGAAAGTTTGCTCTTTCAACAAAGAGCAGGGCTGAACACGAAAGATTTCCATCTATCTACAAAAAAAGTATTTTTGCTGCGTGTTTTTTGTTGTCTTTGTTAACAAGTTGTTTATGTAGATTCTAGATTTGACACTGAAATTTTGGTTTGGTGAAAATTTAGATTTTGAGATCCTTCCAAGATGGGGTTGGTGGCGCGGGGGGGGGGGGGGGGGGGGGGCGTTCCAGGTAGTATCAGAAGCACACAAAAGTTAAGAGGAAGACCATTTGCATTTGGGCAGAAGGGCAGAGGCAGAAAATTTGACAATTGAGACATGGGAAAATGATATCTGTAAAATTTAAATTGGGATATCATGAACATCATCATTGATATGTAGAGTTCTACAGTAGGGTCCTAGGTAGGCTGGTACATCCACAATGCAAGACTAGGCCATTAAAAAGAAAGAAGTGCATAGCCAAACTATGGAAAGAGCCTAGATGTCCATCAACAGATGAATGGATAAAGAAGATGTGGTGTATATATTAATGGAATATTATGCAGCCATCAAAAAATGAAATCTTGCCATTTGCAACGATGTGGATGGAACTAGAGGATATTATGCTAAGCGAAATAAGTCAATCAGAGAAAGACAATTATCAAATGATCTCACTGATATTTGGAATTTGAGAAACAAGACAAAGGATCATAGGGGAAGGGAGGGAAAAATGAAACAAGATGAAACCAGAGAGGGAGACAAACCATTAGAGACTCAATCTCAGGAAACAAACTGAGGGTTGCTGGAGTGAAGAGGAGTGGGAGAGGGATGGGGTAGCTGGTGATGGACATTGGGGAAGGTATGTGCTATGGTGAGTGCTGTGAATTGTGTAAGACTGATGAATCACAGACCTGTACCCCTGAAACAAATAATATATATGTTAATTTAAAAAAATTAAAAATAAATTAAAAAACATTGAGCTATTAGGTTTAAAAATATGAAAACTACTTAGCAAAGTGGAAAATGTTTATGATGCAATTTAATTGAAAAAATAGGATATGACAAGTTCTACAGTATGATTATGTCTATATTGAAATTATGTATGGCCACAGAATAGACCTAAATAGGAACATGAGAAATCTAAACATTTGATTGACTGGAATAGCAGAACCATAAGTTGATTTTTTTTTTTAAGATTTTATTTATTTATTTGAGAGAGAGAATGAGAGACAGAGAACACGAGAGGGAAGAGGATCAGAGGGAGAAGCAGACTCCCCGCTGAGCAGGGAGCCCGATGTGGGACTCGATCCCGGGACTCCAGGATCATGACCTGAGCCGAAGGCAGTCGCTTAACCAACTGAGCCACCCAGGCGCCCCATGAGTTGATTTTTTTAAATGACGTTATCAATTTAGGTTCTTGGTTATACAATGTGATGTATGCACTATTTTTTTTAAATGGGATGACAAAGCTAAATTTAAAGGATTCTTGCTTGGTAAGTTTCTTGAAACCAGGCTAGACAGTGTGTGTGGTTAACATCACCAGATTTGGGAAATTAAAAAACAGGGTTCCCAGTTAATTGTGAATTTCAGATAAACAATGAATATGTTTTTGCTTGTGGAAAAAAACAATTTTATTTTGGCTCATTTTTTTCACTGTCCTGAAAATATTTCACTTCAAAGAGAATTAAACTCTTTGTCTGCTTTTTTACTGTAAGTATGTCCATTTAAATATTTGGAATAGGGGTGCCTGGGAGGCACAGTCACTTAAGTATCTGACTCTCAGTTTTGGCTCAGATCATGATCTTAGGGTCCTCAGATCAAGCCCTGCGTAGGGTTCCACGCTCAGCAGGGAGTCTGTTTGGGTTTCCCTCCCTCTGCCCCTTCCCCCACTCGTGCTTGAGCTCTCACTCTAATAAATAAATAAATCTTTAAAAAAAAAAAAAGAAGAAAACACAGATTTATGTGGACAGATATAGAAAAAAAATCAGGTCATAGTATTAATTTTTTAAAACTCTAGTAGAGTATATGTGTACCATGACCCCACTGTGTTAAAACAAACCTCACAGTCTATGTATAAACATCGTTAGATGCAGAGAATATATTTGGAGGGATAACAAGAAACTTGAGTTTGGCTGCCTCTGGAGAATTGGTACTGAAGGGAGGTAAAAAAGGAAAAAAAAAAAAAAAAAAAAGAGGGCACCTGGGCGGCTCAGTTGTTTAAGCCTCAGACTCTTGGTTTAGGCTCAGGTCATGATCTCAGGTTCCTCTGAGCCCCAGCATCAGGCTATGCTCAGTGCTGACTCTGCTTGTCCCTCTCTCTCCCCCTCCGCTCCTCCCCTTCCCCCCCCCCTCGCACCCCTGTATACACTCTCTCAAAATCTTTAAAAAGAAAAAAGAAAGAAAAGGACCTTTGCATTTTAATCTAACATTTCACCATTATGTAATCTTTTACCATGAAACCTATTCCTTTTACAATTGAAACTGAAAGAGAAAAGAATCCAATTCATCCCTAACTCTCTAGAGGAAAAAAAATCCATTTTAAATATACAGAATTAGAGAATATCCAGTACCATGTACATTTACTGATTTAGTGAATATTTACTATGACCCAGGTTCTAAGCATGGATTGTATCATCATGTTTAATCCACACAAGAACTCTAAAATGTATATACTGTGATTATTCCCATTTTATAGAAAGCTGAGAAGTGACTCTTCAGAAACCACACAGAGCTGACATTCAAACGCAGGCACCTTGACCCATGTTTAGCATCCATGGTACTGCCTTCTCTATGGCACTTACCCTTTCTTCATATTACATTTATATTGTAATGAGTACTGTAGAAAGTACTGAAAACCATCATGGATACCCCCAGCACCTAGCACAATGCCCAGCATGTAGTGTGCTCAGTAAATCTTCATTGAACAAGTGAATAATTAGGTGGCCCGCCTACAGCTGGGAAGTTAAACTACATAACTACTTTCTGCCTCCTGAGACTATGAAACAAGCTGAGTTCTAAAAGCACCCATTGATCAATGACCCTACCATTCCATGCTCCTCATTTTGAGAAACCACTTGCCACCCAAGTCCTCCTGTAACAAAAGACTTGAAAGACTGGACATGTTTTCCTTTTCCTTCTCTAATGCCCTGGTAACTATCCAGCATAAAACTGATGCATCGTTCCATAAACCTTTCTAATTCTGCGCATGACTAGGATACTGTAACATTTAAGAAAGCCAATGATGACATACTTACCCATCAAAAAGTGAAATGGTATAAACAGTTTGTCGTAAACTAATTAGCTATTGGCATATGGCAGATGAACTATTATAACTGACTTAGTGTTGCAATCATATGAATCAAGGCTTCAACTTACTTCCTCTTCCAATATTAGTACTCTAGGTATTAAAAGATACAAATGGGTCCTTGGTGAAGGAGAGACTGTGCATGCAAGTGAGTCTGTATAAGTCTTTGGATGTCTGTGTTTATGTGTATCTTTGTAGATGCTTTTGGTCTTTCAAAAGTGGAATATTTTTCTATAACATAGAAACCTAATAAATAGACAAAAACCCAAATCCTAGAATCCTATTGGTGCTGATAAACAAAAGCTGGTTTTCATTCAACAAGGGTGCCAAGACTATTCAATGTGTAAAAAATGTACTCAACAAATGTGTCTGGACAACTGGATATCCACATGCAAAGGAATGAAGGTGGACTCCTACCTCACACCATACACAAAAATTAGCTCAAAATGGATCACACATGTAAATATAAGAGCTAAGACTATAAAACTCATAGGAGTAAATATAAGTAAATCTTTGTGACCTTGGATTAGGGAATGGTTTCAGAGATATGGCACCAAAAGCACAAACAATGAAAGAAATTATTTGACTTCATCAAATTAAAAACTTTTGTGTTTCAAAGGTCACTATCAAAAAAGAGAAAAGACAACCCACACAATGGGAAAAGATTTTGCAAATCATTTATCTAATAAGGGACTTGTATCCAGAGTATGTTAAGAACTATTGCAACTCAACAACAAAAAGACGACCCAATTTAAAAATGGAGAAATGATCTAAATAGATATTTCTCAAAAAAGATATACAAATACACAAAGAGATGCTCAATCATCAGAGAAATGCAAGTTAAAACCACAATAAGCTACTACTTCACACCCACTAGGATAATTATAATCAGAAGACAGATTATAACAAGCATTAGTGAGAATTCAGAGACATCAGAACGCTCATACATTGCTTGTGGAAATAAAATGGCGCAGCCACTTGTGAAAGCAGTCTAGCCGTTCCTCAAATGGTTAAACATAAAATTACCATATGGCTCACTAACTCCACTCTTAGGCATACACACAAGAGTAATAAAAGCACATATCCATATTAAAAAATTACATGCTGGGGGGTGGGGGGATGGGTTAGCCCGGTGATGGGTATTAAGGAGAGCACATATTGCACGGAGTACTGGGTGTTATACACAAACAATGAATCATGGAACACTACATCAAAAACTAATGATGTACTTGTGTGGTGACTAACATAACATAATAAAATAAAATTTAAAAAAAATTACATGCTTTTTCACAGCAGTATTCATGATAGCTAAAAAGTAGGAACGATCCCAATGTCCATCAAGTGATAAAT